TCAGCTTTTACTTCCATTAATTTTTTTTGCACTAAACATTTTTAGTTATATACACTTTTTCTCATCCATACCATCGGAAAGTAAACTCTTTGATTGCAGTATGAGTCTAAACTGATAAAAGGTCATCACATTTTGGTTAGTCTTTATCAGTATTTTATTTCATATATGTGTGCAAAGTCTTCATTTCTGTGCTGTTTCCCTCTGAAGTAAGGTGGGGATAAAATTAGAGAGCAGCATGTTGACATAGGTGTGGCATGTGGAGGTTTATCTATTTGTTTGCAAGTGATAGTGTCATCAGAGTGAATCCCCTTTCTTTTGAGTACATGAGAAAAATGGTAATGCTCATCCTGACGATATAGCATCTGGATATCGAATGAACATGACATTCCTTAATAAGTAGTGACTTTCAGTGAGTGAAGAACTGTCATTTAATCTGATGATGTCATACGGTGGAAATGTCTGTCATTACAGCATATTCCAATGGAGCAGATCCAGCTAGTCTGGTGCATTGCAAAAGCAGAATGCTTTTCACTGGTTTTTATACTCTTGATCTTGCTGCTCCATTAAATCAGTTTGTCTAGTCTTAGACCATTTGCACCATTGTAACTTCCATTCAGTCAATTTCTTCAGATATGAAAAAATGTCTTGACTATAAAGCCATGTCTATATATTATAAATTTATAAATTTATAAACTATAAAATTAGGATAGATACAGATTCAGATACTCATGCAGAGGTGGCTGCAGGAGAGTTTGATTCTGAAAGGTGTTTGTGTTCATGCGCAGACCAAACTGTCACAGATTCATGAACACTGTCTCTCATAATCAGAACTGAATCCACTGATAAGAAGACTCACACAAACAATAAGAAAACCACAATTTCCTTGGAAATAGAGATAGCGTTTGTATAATTCATAATGTAATTCTGTTTAACTTGGATTACTAGTCATAGACTCTGTATTACATTGTGTAATAACATTGGCATCACTTGTCATTTGGATTATATTTATGTTTGAATTACAGATTTTCACCAAGATAAATTTTCAGTAGGCTATGGAAGAGGTCTTATGAATTTCCTCGTATCAGATTCTGAAGTTATATATTAGACTTCTTTAACTTATGTTTAAACCCTCTGCCCCTGTGTTCGCAGAAGTGCTTCTTATGAGTCCTATGCTATCTTAAGATCAAAAATGCTGCTGTGATCCTAATGTGAAGGATCAGAGCATTTCTTGTACTACTTTTATATGAACTCTGAGCTGTATATAATGGCCAATGGTTCCCTTACTGCTTTCATGCAATGGAAAATACAGCCAGATCAGTGAAACTTTTATTTTGCAGATTTTGTAGTAGTCCTCTGTAGTTATCAAGAAATACAGAACAGATGTAGTCCTTGATGTTTCCCATTGATCCTGGTCCCATCACTGTCCAGGTCAGAGATCTATCACAGAGCATACTATGGCTCCTTCTAGCCCACAACACCACGCTGCCTTTCGATGGAAAATAAGGTGCATGACAGGAGGGCTGATATATGTCTAAATTTTGCCATAACATAAAATCAGGGTCTGGTAAAAGCGAGCACTAACATCTAGGAAGTACATCTAAATCCTGCAATTTAAAATTCACTTTTTGAACCCAGAATCCATGCAAAAGTGCATATTATCTGTGGCAAGAATAAGACAAAGCGTCCCATACTTCTCTGCAGACTAGAATTGTCTTGTTCTATTCTGAGACCATCTTTAGCCTTCCTGGTAGACATCACAGCAGAAGGAGTGGCCAACATTGAGAGCCACCACCATCAACTTCAAATTGCATCTCTCTGTGGAAAGCTCTGGCTTTCCAGGTAGGCTGCACATCTTCTCATGGTCATCAGAAGGGAGTAATGGCAAAGCATCCACTCTGTGGAGGATTGTCTTATGTATGAATCCAACCCCAAAAGGCTGATTTCTTTGTGTGAAACATTCACGTAAAACAATGTGAAGTTTCCAGCTATTAATCATTTTGTCTCAAGTTCGAGCAGCTTTCTCCTCAGGTACAGGCTTCTGAAGCTTTTTCTTCTCAAACACACCAAGGTGACAGGTTCCCTTTCCCCTATTTCACTTGCAATAACAAATCCTACCCCCTTTCCCGTATGACGGCAGTATTACTTTTATGATCGTGCACTCCTAGACATCGTTTTTCGGACTGTGTGATGGATGGCGTAAGAAGCTGCAGAAAGGAAAGAAGAAAGGAAATGGGATGTTACGCAGATGGGACTCCTCAGGACCTCCTGCAGGCAGCCCCAGGCAGGTGGTGAGAGGACAGCAAGCCAAACAACCCTTGGAGGTGACCAAAATACCTTCCACCAGCCAGGAGGGACAGGCAGAGATGGCTGCCCCTCGGGAAGTTGCTGTTAGCCACAATCTGCCCACACGGATGGAGGGACCCATTTTGTTGGTTAAATGTTACCATCACAGTCCTTGTCACACTCCTTATCTTTGACCAACTACAAATAATAAATTATACTTGATAACTGTCTGTCCACATCCCTAGTTAGGGAGCCACTCTATCCCAAATGCTGTGTTTTCCAGAAGCAGTAGTTAGCTTGGAATAACAGATATAACAGATCTAGCTGAGTCTGTTTATTTCAGAAGGCATTCCCAGTTCTTTACTGCCACTGGCTTTGTTCTGCAGGCTTCAGGGAATAAATCTTATCATTGGATCTTGGGGAGTCTCCACCAATTTTTGACAAAAGTTCCATTTCCATCGTCCTCTGAAGGAACCTGCTTCTTTTTACAATTCCGTCAAATTATTTCTGCAATCTCTCCGGCAGCTCAGAAAAAACAGTAAACTCTTAAATGCTTAGAACTTGGTTTCAAGCAGCAAGGTTGTCTGGGGAAAGGCAATGGCTTGCAGCTATTAGATCGTACAGTGAAATCCCTTAGGTGCTGGTCTCCTCTTTATCTTACAAGTTGTGGAGCCTAAATAAAAATTTCCAGAGTGTGAAGCCTCTACCCACCTATGTCTGGGCCGTGACAGACGGAGCACATAGTATTCACTAAAACTTTGAACAGAAGCATACTAATATCTGTATAAAACAAGCATTTGCTGTTTACATAACCTTTGATGAACATACCTAGAATCTTTCCTTCACTGGATGTCATGTCTTTACCTGGACTGAAGTGCAGAAGCAGAGTCTTGTGTTGATATTGTATTTAACAGGCAAGATCACAATCATTGGGCCATACCCATGATTCAGTGTGGTCTTAGGATAGTGCAAAATCAGGTGTGGTTTGGGGTTTTTTTTCCTAATTCTTAGGTTCATTTTGAGCTGGTCGCTAGCTTGTGTTGAAAGACGAAAGACTTGGTCTCTATGGGCAGAAATGTACACACACTTTAGTCAGCAGGTTCATTATTAAATAAATTCAAGTCTTGTGTTCTCCAAGTTTGCGCACCCTGGCCAAGTTACATGTGAAGTTATATGACCCCTCTACATGTGGAAGTCCCTGGAATTTGCACATGTAACAAGGCTATAGAATAGAAATCAGCTATTCATGAAACACTGAATGTTTGTGAAATGTCCATAAAGTAGTGTGAGAACTCCTCTGTATGTGTAGGAGTTCTCTAGTTCCTTAATCGGAGTATTAACCTACTAGAGCTTTTTTGCTCACATACATGTTATTTTTCAAGTTGAAGCAAGCTTAATCGGGAAAAAAAAAAAATCCATCACTTTAACAGTTTGCCTTCTGTCAGAACAAAATAGATATTTTCTGAAATTTCTAAAAAAAAATGTATGTCTAAAATCCACTAACCTGTTCAAAGTGAAGTTATAACATTTCAAGTAATTGGGAGAAATCTGATAGTTATAGAAGTTGTTACGTGGTAGATTAATCATAGTCTCCATCCATAAGATTACATGCACACTGTGTCTTATTATTTTGATTTAAATATGCGCTTCTTGCTGTTTCAAAATTTGGTAACAGCCTGGAGAACAAATCAACACTTCCTCTTACTATAGTTTCTCAGATTATTTCCACTGTTTGAGGTGAGCATTAAATGCCGTTATTTTAGATATTGGTCATTGTTGCTTTCCTTCTCCTCCTTCACTTAACAGAATCATTAGACTATTTTTGTGTGTTTGGTTTCTAATTTGGTTTTCTTAGCCACCTCCTTGTATGCCTACTGGGGGAATACTGGTATACCTGCTGCCCTATGCTAATGTGACTTTGTTACACCGTGACTGAAGTTGACTCAGCATGTTTTGTATAAAACTGTTTGTTTTATATAAAAAAAAAAAAAGTATGTTGCTCCAAAGAGGTTAAGAGTCCAACAGAATCTAACTGCAACCTGTTCTTCTCCTGGTTATGTCTCTTCTGTGAACCAGATTGTTTCCTTCTTAACAGGCTGGAAGCACCCTTTGAATAACTTATACATACTCTAATATTACTGCATGGTATAATAAACGTATATGGTGCCCTATGGGTACCACAGTTGGAGCGTTAAGCATATGCCAAGGACATTTCTGCTCATATGTCAGTTTGGAGACAAATCCTGCTGCAACGAAATAAAGCTAGCCTTAAGGCACCATATAAAAAATTGCAGATTACTGATTTATCAAGTGACAGTAACTAACGACAGGGAATAATCTCTCTCTTCTTCTAAGACATCCCCTCATGTAAAAGTATCATCAACGACCTGTTTAGCAAAGCAGCACTTAGTTTTTGCACAGCAATCAATGTGGCTGGTCTCCGTACTCCAGCAGGTGGTCTGCAGTGGTAATTCCCAGTGATCTCTGTGAGAGTCAGGAATTCTCAGCAGATGCCCAGGATCGACTGTTAGGAGATTACCAGGGGACATTGCAGAGACTGTTTCTCCTTGTAGAGTATGAAAGGGAATGTCATGTACAAGTACATTACAGCTACCTGGAAAGAGAAATTAAGTTCAACAGCAGTGAAGCAGTTGAACCGTGCTAGAAGTTTACAGACTTTAAAGAAAAAGTTAATTTGTATTTTCTTTTACCCACAGGTCTACCCACGGATAGCGCCGGCATTTTGGCACTACCTGCGGGTAGAAGTGAGTAGCGGGTATTTGAATACTCCCACATCTTTACTTTACGGCTTACTAGTATTTACTGACCTCCTAGTTTATCCATTGTGCAAAAATAAGTAGCTACCATTCTAGCTGCCATTTTCTGTGGATGTAGTCCTGTACTAATTCCATATTGTTTTGACTACAGTGTAATTACTAACCCAAGTCACAAAGATGTGATGTGTTTATATGCAAGATTAAAGACAAAAAATTGAAATCTAAGTCAAGGCCATATCATACATTATGACTATAGCACAAAATCAAAGTACAGAAATCCATACCTGCACCTCCTTTTATAACCACATTTTACATTCATGAGAAGAATATGGAGCTTCAGTTCTGCTATATCATTTTTGCAAAGTTTGTACAACTCAACTTGATATCATTTCTCCCCTCTTTTGTCCCTCAGGAGCATGAGCAGCTCAGCTATTCCTCCACAAGGTCCAAGGCTCCAAGTGTTATCATCACAGGTCTCAAGCCAGCCACCAAGTATATATTTCATATCAGAGTCAGGACGGCAGCAGGATACAGCGGCTATAGCCAGAAGTTTGAATTTGAAACTGGAGATGAAAGTAAGTTTCACTGAAGGGAAAAAAAAAATCAAATAAAATAGAAGTAGCATCTAATTCTAAAACAGTGAGATGTTGGGAGTTTGAATGGCTGAATCCATACCACTTGCTTATCACAAAATGACCACTGCTATACGATAAAAAACAAGTAAGCCTCAGCCTCACACTTCTAGATTTATAACAACAAATAGAAATATTAGCCCAACTCTCCAGCCGAAGGAATATTTTCTTCTGCAAAATTTCCTTGTGAACCCCTTCCAACATGAGATATTCTATGATTCTCTGACCCTTTCTTTGCTTAAAGAAGAGAAGGCCTTCCTTTTGACATCTAGAAAGACCTTTAGTCAGGCTTTACCTAAGTCCAGCAGCTTCAAGCAAGCTCCCAGAACCCGATAATGCAGTCTTTTCTCTGTAGTTGTTAGTGCTCCCAGACTCTACAAAAAAAAAAAAAAAAAAGAAAAAAAACTTTTATATGTATTTCCATCAACAAATAAGCCTACTGAATTTGCCAGTAAGAAGCAAAAAGCCTACATATTCCTACAGAAGATACAAGAAGGCTTGATGCTATGTATGATGTCCATGCTCTGAACATTTTTATTTTTGTCATGTATTGCCCTCCATGTTCAAAGAAACTCCAAACAAGGTATTTATAAGTATTTGAGATAAAAGTAGTGTAGTAGATACAACACTAAAACACTCATTAATGAAATTATTTAAATTAACCGACTATGAATACCATAGTTTTCATTGGTGTTTTAGAATTCAAGTTGCTTAAGCTGAAGTACAGACTCCAAACTATGTAAGCATATGGGTTTGTGTTCCATTTTCATTGCTTCTTAACTTCTATTTTAGAAATGTTTTAGGGATAGATTTCCAAGTGCTTAATGCCTAATTGGACTTTTTAAAATTTTCTGGGTACTTAACCCAGTTGGTTTGAATAGGAGTTGAGCACTTGGGTGCTTTCAGGAATTCCAGTAAATCCTGTCTGCATCTTCTGATGCAATAAATACTAGACTTTAGGCACCCAAGGACATGACTCTTATCAAAAGTAAATGATATTTAAACCTTTAAGAGCCTATGTCATGTTTGTGAAAATGTGACTTCCCCATCTAAATCAGGAAGACTGTGGTTCTACTGACATTTCTCTCATTGGCACTGCTGATAGAAACATCTCCTGGGAGTGAGATTCCACCCACGCCTTCCCAGCACCTGGCTCTTGGGCTGCATGGTGAACTAGAGCTCACAACGCTCTTAAACATTTTTTACCTCTATTGCTTCTAAGCACTCAGCGTGAATCTTGATAGTGAAACAGAAATGCGCATTATATATTTGCTGTTTACCAACACTTATTGCTTAAGCTTGTGCGTGACTAAGAGTTTTCGATTTGTTATAAATATAAATCATGTGATTGAAAGGAAATGCGGACAGAAGAGGTTTTGTTTGTGATCAATTGAGATGGAGGTCAAGAGAAATTCTGCTGCTGTTTGAAGTGGTACCTGGAGTTAGATAAAGTCTTCAGTTTAATTAAAAGGGTAGTTCAAAGGACTGTGGTCTTATTCAAATATTTATACAGTACTGCTTTAGATTTCAAAGGGGAAAAAAAAGCAAAGTGCATGGCTGCTGGTAAATATTCCTTATTTCAGATTGAAGCAGTACTCGGTGACCAGTCAAATGATGCCTTGTTACTCTCCAAATATTGTGCTTCCTCACAGCAGTATTTTGAAAATTAGCGTATTCTAAACTTTAAGGCAGTATCAGATGATCATGATCATTCATTTATACCCCTTTCATAACACAGGCCAAACGTCTGTAACTCTGTAACTTTTCCAGACAGCTCATGACAATAGATTGAGATGTGACAGCTACTGTATACAAAGAGTATTGATTTAAAGTCTTCCTGTAATGGGGAGCTCACCATATTTATAGGTAGATAGTGCCAGTGCTTAAACCTTACAATTAAAAGTTTGCACCTTATTTCTAGCCTGAATTTTTTGATTTAGCTTGTACCCTGTGACTCTTTTCTGCCAAATTAAAAAGCCAGATAGTATCAGAAATCTCTTCCTCATCTAAATGTGTGTATGCCATTTTTAATTCTCTTGTGTTTCCCGTAAGGAATATAAGTGTTCTCTTTCACTCTAAAAAACCCACAGTTTTTCCAAACATTGAATCATTTTGTAGCTCTCCAAAATTTTAACATCCTTTCTGAAGTATAACGTCGGAACTGAACCTGACACTGAATTAAACTGGAAAACTAAATCTGTTTATGATGCCATGAACAGACCTAACACCACTCACCTCCTTATAATTCAGTTTTCTTTTACTTACAGATCTAAGCACTTGCTGCCTGAACTAGAGCGTTGTCTTACACAGCTGAACAACTAGAACATGGCAACATTTTTGTCAGTACTGTTGTATTCCAAGATACTGACCTACATTTAGATGGAGGGATTGGGGAGGGTTGTGTTGACACTTGGACTGCATAGTTATATCAGTACCCGTAAATGTTAATTCACCCTTGCTGGCATGCATCTATCTTACAAACCAGTCCAAGTCAAGCTGCGTAGGAACCTGTCTTCATCATTTACTACTCTGGCAGTATGCAGCTCAGCGGAAAATTTTCTGATTTTTTAATATATATTCTCAATTATTCTGAAAGATACCAAATAATATTAGACCAAGGCAGACTATTGCATCTCCCTCCATCCCTACCCATTAGAAACAAGTTACTTGGTGAAAATTCCACATTTGCAATCACTTTTTGTGGTCTTTCAGTTAGCCATATTTTAATTAATTTAATGTGAGCTATACTGATTTTATATATCAGAAGGTTGGGAAGAATATTCTTTTAAAAGCCTGTGTTGTCAACAGAAATTCGTCAATCAACAGTCTCGTAAAAATGACAAAAAAAATGGAAGGTTTTCATGAGAAGGCTGGGAAGAATAGAGTCTTTCAAAAGTCTGTTGTCAACAGAAATTTATCAACCAACAATCTCATAAAAACGGCAACAAATATTTCAAGTCAAGTGTTTGATAAAAATCCTTCTCAATTGGCATTAGCTTGTAACATCCTTCAGCTCTCTTCCAGTTGTACATGTTACAGTCTTAGCATCTGGAGAAGAATTCCAGGACCAGTTGCAGGTGAACATCCAAGGTTACTCCATTTACCCTGCTTGAATATTGACATCATTTGTTAATAAATGGTGGTAAAGTCAGCAATCCAAAATTAGGATTTTTCTTTAAAGTGATAGACAAGTTGTAAAAAAGTCTTGGTTCATCAACTGTGAGACGTGTATATCAATGTCCTAAAACATACCGTCCTCGACAGGAGAGTGCTGTCGTGCCTTCTCCAGTTTACTGGTTGAAACACTATCTGTGCCACTTCAGTTATATGGGATAAAATGAGGTACAGCCTTACTAGGAGCACGAAGACATTTTGGTATAATTATTAATGGTGGTGCATGAGGCAGAAAGAAGACCAACTCTGTAGCAGTAATGAAAAATGTTAATTAATCGTGCAATGCTGATCTGGTTTGGGGAAGCACCCTCACGTACTGACCGGCAGACTGAGGCAGCCATCGGTTGGGGAGCATGTCGTTGTTGAACTGTTCTCCCTGCTGCAAAGACTGATAAATGGAACATCTAAAAGAGTAAAATTTGTACTTTCTTTGTGAAAGGAAATGGAGTTACCTAGAAAAGTCAGAAAAATTCTCTTCAAGGAAGCAGGGGTGGATGAATGGACGTTGTCAGACATTTCTTCCACTGTTAAAGCTGCTGTGGGAAATACAATACCTTTGCAAAACATAGTATCTACTGCTTTTGACGGTATTCCTTATTGCCATTTTATTCGGTCTCCTTGTTTCAGCACCTTACAGGCAAAACACTTCTAGCAAAGCTGACGGGATTTCATACACACCAGCCCACACCCGTGTGCCGCTGCTGTGGCTATAAATTGAAGCATAACCTCACTCGTAGTTCCTGCTTTTATGTATCAGGAGTACCTACTGTCTGAGTCACCACAAAAAACTCTGGTCCTTCCTAGGATAGAATAAAATGTTTTCTGAGAATAAAAAATCATTTGTCCCGGGGCAAACATGGTTTAATCTCTAACTGTTTTGTTTGGTTTTTTTTTTCTCTCTTTCTATTTTACTATCTCTCTTCTCTCCTAACTAGCTATTTAGGAAATACTTTTTTTGTTTGGTTGTTTTTTGTTTTGTTTTTTTAAATTAGTGATTCAAAGCATTCTTTTTTTCTGGAGGAATGATTTTTGCTAGATCACCTCAGAGGCCCTTGTGCCTAGAGGAATTTGTAAAATATTGAAGGATTTACAGTGTTAGGCGGTGCAGTGTTTTCATGCTGTAGCTGTCTTGTGGGGGGCTTGTTCTAAAACTGAGGGTATTTTCCACGTCAACCTTCCTGTCATTAGGAAAAAAAAAACCCAGATCTGAAAGGGAACTTGTTGGCTTTTTCCAGGAGAGACCTAAGGGGCAAACTAGCAAGTGTGCGGTGTGGACTAGTGCTTGGGCTGAACAGAGTGGTAAATGGAAGCACATGATGATTTTGGATCCAAAAGCGATGTAGACTTTTGTATGCTTCAAATAAATCATATTAACAATACAAAAATACAAATTTCAGAAATGCTAATAGAATACTTGATTAGGTATTTTATAAATTTGAGGACTGTGAAAAATTAATTGGCCTGAAACCCTGATCTTTATGAAACGATAACTTTAATTTCTTTACTATGGGCGCAGATGGTGACTTTCTTGTATTGCCAGATCTGCTGAATTCTCAGATTCTTCCTCCTCTTCCCACATCCTCACAATCTATCTTTAACTTTTCAGCCTCAAATCATGCTATTTTGGATTTGCCACCAGATGCGCTTTAGACCCTCTGCTCCATTCTTTCCAGAGCTCCGGAGCTTCAGAGAGGGGTCCTGAGGCATTGATTCTGATGGAGGTCCAGTATTGTTTTGAGCACATGCTCTGATTCATGCCACGACAGAGA